TCTATGTGGTGCTGGGTATGCCAGGTTTCAGCATCGCAGACAAGAAGCGCAGAACAGGCTGCATTGGGGCCAAACACAGAATCAGCAAAGAGGAGGCCATGCGCTGGTTCCAGCACAAGTATGATGGGATCATCCTTCCTGGAAAATAAATTTTATCTAAGAAAAACAATAAAATTTTCTCAGAAAAAAAAATGTAATACTGACAGACATATGGAGAACAATTTGCTGTGGGGACAAAGATACACAGAAGTGACCATAAGAAGACTCAAAATTAAGAGCAATTTGGGGAGTAACACCCAATAAACAAAGACAAGTGATAAAACGATCAGAAAGGGGAAAAAATCTAGATTCGGTAAGTGAAAACTCAGAAAGAGGTTATTTGGAATTTAAAAAAAAAGGAAAATAAAATTAAATAAGTAAATAATTGGGGTGAGTGGGAACAGAAACTGATGGAACAGTCTCACTGGGGAAAAAACAGTGGGTGAGTAGGTGTCTTAGAATTTTGTTGCTGTGAAGAGACACCATGACCAATGCAACTTTTATAAGGAAAACATTTCATTGGGCTGGCTTACAATTTCAGAGGCTTAGTCCATTATCATCATGGTGGGAAGAATGGCAGCGTCCAGGCAGACATGCTGCTGGAGGAGCTGAGAGTTCTACATCTTGATCTGTAAGCAGCAGTAGGAGACTGTGCCTACACTGGGCATAGCTTGAAAAAGTGGGCTCAAAGCCCACTTTCACAGTGACACACTTCCTCCAACATGGCCACACATACTCCAATAAGGCCACACCTCCTAATAGTGTCACTCCCTATGGAACAACCATTCAAACACATGAACCTATGGGGTCATTCCTATTCAAACCATCACAGTAGATAAATCCTCAGACAGGAAGTTCATAGCAAAAACTACATATAAATTAAAATTTCCAGATATCTTCACCAACCCCTAAGACAAACTACTCAACCACTGCAGAGACTAGACCCAGGAAGGGTAGACAGACTTGGTAGAAAAGACAACAAAAACAAAGGGGTAATTAAGTGATACCCTTTCCAGACTGAGAATTATGGCCCTCTCCTGACTTCTTTGGCAAAACCAAATGTTTTCTGCTGTGTATGTACCCTTTCTCAAGCAAGAAAGAACATCAGATCCTTTCTCTGGGAAATCACAAGCAGGCACCCCAAAGGACCTCAGGGCCAGCCCTAAGCCTGAGACCCTGCAGGAAGACCCTGAGAGATGAAGTGAAGCCTGGATCACCATACAGACTCCAAGATGTTGAAGGTGTCAAAGCTGTGAGACATCTGCCAGGGAGAGCTGCTTACACGGAGTAGAACCAGCCTGTTAGAGACATATTCTGCAGGCAGAAAAGATGGAGGGATGGAGCCATCTAAGCCTCTGATATCAGATATTAAGCTAGACCACTGGTTCTCAACCTACCTAATGCTGTATCCCTTTAATATAGTTCCCAATCATAAAATTATTTTCGTTGCTACTTCATAACTGTAACTTTGCTACTGTCATGAATTGTAATGTAACTATCTGTTTTCAGATGGTCTTAGGCTACCTTCCTGTATGTGGGTCATGGCCCATAGCTGGGAATTGCTGAGCTGGGGATTCGGTGTTTACACACTGCATTATCAGTCTTGCTTGGTCCAGCATTTTCTGACTATGCCCCATCCCTCCTTTTAGGAAGAGTAATGTATACCTGTGCCATTGTATGCTGAAATTACCTGCGCCAACTTGCTGTCTGCCACCTTACTGTCCCCGATTAAACATTTTATTGCACCAGGATTTTTTTTCCAAGACGGGATTTCACTGTGTACTCTTGACTTCCTGGAACTCGATTTGTAGAGCATGGTGGCCTTGATTCAGAGAAATCCATCTGCCTCTGCTTCTGGAGTGCTGGGATTAAAGATGTGAGCCACATCACCAGGCTACCACAGGATTCTTCTTTTGCTTACTTTACAGCCAAAAACACGACTCAGTTGCAAATACTTACCTGATAATGACACATACTTTATCACTAGAATATATCTTATGCAGACAGGTACTGTAAAATGCTGACATAAATCCATGAGCCTATGACTTTAATGAGGCTACCCATCTCTCAGGAGACACTCACTGAAGTGCATCAGAGTCTTTTCTTGGAATATGTTAACCATTTCTAAACTAAAGCTCTTAGTTGTAGCATTAAAAAGAATTAGAAAGGTATGAGTCTCCTTTTCCCTTGTCTGAATACAGTCATCCCTAGAACTTCAGTTCAAAAAACGTATTCACTACAATTTTCATGGAAGTAAAAACATCCTTTCTTCTTTTAAACATGGCAGCATGAAATATGCACAAGCGGCATGCTGTTTTCTGAAAGATTTGAAAGCAAGCGATGTTTTACTCTACAATTTTAGGATGGATTCATTAAGAAGCATTTTCAAGGGCTGGAGAAATGGCTCAGGGGTTAGGACCACTGAACTCCTTCCAGAGGCCCTGAGTTCAATTCCCAGAAGCTACATGGTGGCTCACAGACGCCTATAATATGATCCAATGCCCTCTTGTGTTTGAAGACAACTATAATGTACTCATGAGCATAAAATAAATACATCTTTAAAATAAATGATTTTTTAAAAAAAGAAACAGCAAACCTATTCTCAGAGCTATTTGGTCTCTAATAATGGACTGAGTGTAGTTCTTTCTGTTCAGAAACACTGAACCCCTGAACTTAAAAAGAAGAAAAAAAAAACCTGCACTAAGACTTTGCCATTGGTAAGCCACTGAGCTACTGTACAGCAGGGCAGGGTAGAATATGATAGGGTGAATGGAATTTTCTCTCTGCCCTTTGAAGGTTTGCTGGAATAAAATGTCTAAGATAAATTAAATGGGAGAAATATATACATTATTATGGTGAAATGTTTCTTATATTCCGAGTTTCTTTGGGATGTTTGACATGATTGATGTTGGTTTTTTCTGACAATCAAGATATCACATGATTTCTATTCTATCAAGAAAAACAGATCATTTTTGAAACGTACTGATTGCCATATTGAACCAGCACTACATCTCTGGGATAAACCAGCTTGATCATGGTCATTCTTTGATAAATTATTGAATCGAGTTTGTGCATATTTTAAAAGAAATTTTGCATATATATTTGTATTGTAGATTGTCAGTAATTTTTTTGTTTTGCTTTTTATCTGGTTTTAGTATCAGGCTAATATTAGCTTCATAGAGATTTTGGTGATGTACCCTTCCCTAGCTACTTAGGGGAACAGTCTGAGAAACAATTGTGTTAGTATTTCATTGAAGAGCTGGTGATTTTTTAATGGTAGATATTTGATTACTGCTTCACTTTTTTTTTTGCTTTCTATAAAACTGCTAGTTTTCTTTTTATATCTTCATGACTTACTTTTGGTAGGTCATATGCATCTAGAAATCTGTGTATTTTAGAGTGTTCCAGGTCATTAGAATATCAAAAATTTTAAGGTAAGACCTAACAATTTTTCTGAATTTCACTAATGTGTGGTAATAGCTCTCCTTACCCCTCAGTTTGACACTTTCATCTTAATTTTTTGTATTTGCTTTCAGAATTTGTGAATACTCTTATCATTTTTATACCTCCCTCTCCCCAATCAACCTCTTCCCATTTCCTACCTCAAGTTCATGCAATCCTTTTTCTTTCTTTCCTTCCCTGATCCTTAACCCTAACCCCTCTAACCACTAACCTAACCCTAACCCCCAAGCCCAACCCCTAACCCTGCATATGAAGAAACATCATAGCCTTAAATCTAACCCTGTAATGGCTGGTTTTGTGTCAACTTGGCACAAGCTAGAGTTATCACAGAGAAAGGAGCTTCAGTTGAGATCCAGCTGTAAGACATTTTCTCAATTAGTGATCAAGGAGGAGGGCCCAATGTGGGTGGTGCCATCCCTGGGCTGGTAGTCCTGGGTTCCATAAGAAAGCAGGCTGTGCAAGCCAGGGGAAGCAAGCCAGTAAGCAGCATTCCTCCATAGCTTCTGCATCAGCTCCTGCCTCCAAATTCCTGCCCTGTGTGAGTTCTGTCCTGACTTCCTTTGGTGATAAACAGTAATGTGAATGTATAAGCTGAATAAACTCTTTCCTCCCCAACTTGCTTCTTGGTCATTGATGTTTTGGGCAGGAATAGAAACCCTAAGACAAACCATAACCTAAGCCCTTACTCTATCACTGTAATCCTTCCTGTTCTAACCTTATCTCCCTAACCCTAACTGTCTAACCTTATCCCTGTAACCCTTCCCATTCTAACCCTATCTCCCTAATCCTACTGTGTAACCTATCCCCCTATCCCTATTAACTGTCTCATAGTAACCATAACCCCTAGCACCCTAACCCATAACCTTCTAACCCAAACAGCTTGACTACAACAAACTCTTGGCATTTACTTTGACCAGGCATTTGAATTGTTATGGATCTATGCAGATTTCAAAACACAGAGACTTTACCACACTGGGTACATTTCTAAGGTTTTTCTCCAGTATGTGCTCTTTAGTGCATTCAGAGATAACTGTGAAGGGCAAATGTTGTACATTGTTTCCATTCACAGGGTTTCAGTGAATGGAAATATGAATACTTTTGTGATAATGAGGGCTATAGAAATGTGCAAAGGCTTTGCCACATTCAATACATTTATAGGGTTTCTCTCCAGTGTGATATTTTTTATGCTGTTTGTCTTAATTGGGTTTTATTGCTGTGAAAAGATACTATGACCAAGGCAACTCTTATAAAGGACAACATTTAATTGGGGGTGGTGTACAGATTCAGAGGTTCAGTCTATTATCATCAAAGTGGAAAGAATGGCAGTGTCCAAGCAGACATGGTGCTGGAAGAGATGAGAGTTCTACATCTTGATCAGAAGGCAGCCAGAAGACTCTTCTGTCTTGAGTGGAGCTTAAGCATAGGATCTCAAAGTCCACTTCCACAGTGACATACTTTCTCATAGACTCCAGAAAGGCCATACCTCCTAATACTGCCACTTGCCATGGGCCAAGTGTATTTAAACCACCACACTTTTCGGTTTCTCTCTAGTATGAATTCTTTCATGTTTTTGAAGTTGAACATGAGAGGCAAAGAATTTACTACAGTACTTACATTCATAAGGTTTCACTCCAGTATGTGTTGCTTTATGTATTAGGAGACTAGTGTTATATACAAAGGCTTTATTACATTCATTGCATCTGTAAGGTTTCTCTCCAGTATGTGTTCTGTCGTGTTTTTGAAGTTGACCATGAGTAGCAAAGGCTTTACCACATTGCTTACATTCATAAGGTTTCACTCCAGTATGTGTTGCTTCATGTATTCGGAGACTAGCGTTACATACAAAGGCTTTACCACATTCATTACATTTGTAAGGTTTCTCTCCAGTATGAATTCTTTCGTGTCTTTTAAGATCATTCTGACCTACAAAGGCTTTACCACATTGATCACATTTGTAAGGCTTCTCTCCAGTATGTATTCTTTTATGTACTTGGAGATGACAACGATGTGCAAAGGCTTTACCACATTGATCACATTCATAGGGTTTCTCTCCAGTATGTGTTCTTTTATGTACTTGGAGACTATTATGATATGCAAAGGCTTTACCACATTGATCACATTCATAGGGTTTCTCTCCAGTGTGTGTTATCATATGCACTTGGAGATGACCCTGTTGTGTAAAGGCTTTATCACATTGATTACATTCATAGGGTTTCTCTCCAGTATGTTTTCTTTTATGCACTTGGAGATAATTGTGATATGCAAAGGCTTCACCACATTGATTACATTCATAAGGTTTCTCTCCATTATGTGTTCTATAATGTATGTAAAGAGTACTGTGTCGTGAAAATGCTTTACCACACTGATTGCATTTGTAGGGTTTCTCTCCAATATGTATTATTTTATGCATTCGAAGATTACATTGAAGTGCAAAGGCTTTACCACACTGATTACATTCATAGGACTTCTCTCCAGTATGACTTCTTTTGTGACTCTGAAGTTCATAATGGTATGTAAAGGCTTTATCACACTGCTTACATTCATAGAGTTTCTTTCTAGTATGTGTGCTTTTATGAATTTGGAGATTACCGTGTCGTGAAAAAGCTTTATCACATTGATTGCATTTGTAGGGTTTCTCTCCAGTATGTGTTCTTTTATGCATTCGAAGATGACACTGTTGTGCAAAGGCTTTATCACATTGATTACATTTGAAAGGTTTCTCTCCATTATGAATTCTTTCATGACTTTGAAGTTGACCATGAGTGGCAAAGGATTTACTACATTGCTTACATTCATAGGGTTTCTCTCCAGTATGTGTTCTTTTATGTATTTGGAAATAACTTTGATATGCAAAGGCTTTGCCACATTGATTACATTCATAGGGCTTCTCTCCAGTATGTGTTCTTTTATGCACTTGAAGATAACTATGATAAGCAAAGGCTTTACCACATTGATCACATTTGTAAGGTTTTTCTCCAGTATGCGTTATTTTATGCATTTTGAGATGACTGTGTCGTGTAAAAGCTTTACCACATTGATTGCATATGTGGGGTTTCTTTCCAGTATGTATTACTTTATGCATTCCAAGATTACGACGATGTGCAAAAGCTTTACCACATTGATTGCATCTGTAAGGTTTCTCTCCAGTCTGTATTACTTCATGCATTTGGAGACTGTGATGTACAAAGCCTTCACCATACCGAATAACTTCATAGGGTTTCTCTCCAGTATGAAGTCTTTCATGCCTTTGAGGATAACTGTGACATGCAAAGGCTTTACCACACTGAGTATATTTAGAGAGTTTCTCTCCAGTACTTCTTTCATGCCTGCAAAGATAATTGGCACATGTGAAAGGTTTACCACAATCACTACACCAATGAATCTTATTATCTGTGGGAATTAATTTTATAATTTGGTCTAATTGCAAAGAGGAATCACATCCTAAGGTTTTATCACTTTGTTTATATTCATGTTTCCCCTTCATTATGGGTTGTTTTGCATCTTGAGGACACTTGTAATGGTAAGAGTGTTAGTACTTGGCTCACATTTGTAGCATCCTTTTTCTCTATGAGATTTTTCACATATGTGAAGAAAACTGGAAGAGCTCACAGCTTTACCACACTGAGTCCATTCATAAATTTTCCTATATTGTGAAATACACTTGCATTCTACAATGGCAAAGTGGACCAGGACAAACAGAAAAGAATTTTCCATATTCCCAGTACTCATAGGGATTTTCTGCAGTGTGAGTTTATGGATATATTCTCAATGAAGTTGGAAAGTCAACTAATTATAAACTTGTACCACACTGAGAAAGTCTGCTCAAATGGGAACTACTACACATATTTCAGTTGTTCTGGGAGACAGAGGGGTACATTGCTTCTTTCATTATCCCTATGTTCACATGGCTTGTATCCACTGTGACACAGGATACCTACTAAAAGAAGAATAACTAATTAAAGATTTCCACATTGCATTCATACAGTTTGACATTTTGTTCATCATAGACATGTGGTATAAATATTAAGGTTTCTCCTCAACAACATTCTTTACTCTCATAAACTGTCCTTCTCACTTATATTTAGCAATGTTACTATATGAGTAATCGACTTTACTATAGGATATATACTCATTAGAAATATATACTTATTACTATATATAGTGATATATGTATACATATATACATATCATACATACATATATATCTCAATATCTGAGTGACATAAGTCAATGGGCAGTTCTCCAGAATAGCTGGAATGTAGCTACGATTCAAAAGGTAATATCTGTTAAGGCATTGTTTCCTTGTCTTCTCTCTCAGAGGAATGTCTTACAAACACAAATCAGACAGCTGATACTGAGGTATATGGAGTTGTTAGAATTTCATAATCAATACACTTAAAAAAGCGCTTTTTTTTACACTGTTGTTTTTGTTTAAAATTTTCAGGACACATTAACATTTCTTCAGAGGCATATTCATACCAACTTGCATGTGAAAATTACCTCCCATGTCTTCTGGAACTTTGACAATGTCCTTCAATGGTATGGTTTTCCCAGTTGTAGCCTAAAAGATAGTATCAGAAAATATATGATGTATTATTGGAAATTAGGCAAAATTTAAGTTATTATCTTTACTGAACCTGATTTATTCACTTCATTCTTCCTCATTCCCAATTGAAATTACAGAAAAGTATCAATAGCAAAGAAACAGTTGTTCCCTTCTTTTAAAAAGTGCAAGAAAATTCACTGTCTTACCTATAGCACTGAGGTTCCTGTAGGTCTCCAACATCACATCTTTGTAGAGATTCTTCTGTGAAAGATCCAGCAAAACCCATTCTTCTCGAGTGAAGTTCACATGCACATCATCATAGGTCAATGAGTCCTAAAATATCCCATACATGTATATAAGAGAAACTTAATACTGACATCACTGTAAATGTATGTTTCATTGACAATATACTGTATGATATATTGTAAGGATGCTTCCCCCACTTATTTCATGAAAAAGCTAGGCATGTTGGCCCACATTTAATCTCAGCACTCTGGAGTCAGAGTCAGGTGGACCTTTAAGTTTGAGGCTTACATGTTCTACATACCTACTGTCAGGACATTCAGGGCTACACAGAGAAACTTTGTCGTCAAAAACAAAAACAACAAAGTTAAAATGATAAAAACACCAAGCTTGCAAAATAGCTTAGCACTGAATAACAATTGCTTCAACTGCGTCTTAGGTGATTTAGGGAGAGTCTATAATGGTGAAGGCAAAACAACGTAAGAAGGAAGCTGACCGATCATGTCCAACAACACAGTAGACACACACACACACACACAAACAGGAAATGGGTTGAGTCTATAGGTACTCAAATCTCATCCCCAATAAGCAATCTAGAAAGCTTCCTCCTATAAAGGCTTCTATTGAGAGGACTGAGTTGGCCAGAGCCAGGATGACTCCATGATAGGCTGCACACTGACAGTTTGGAAGACTAGGCCTAAGTTTCTGTTTTCCAGAACTGGAAAAGTCCAAACAGGTCGATTCCAGGAAAACCACCCCTCACAGAGAGCCAATTAGGAGCTTCCAGGAGCTGCCCCTGCCACCAGGCCTGAGGCAAACCTAAATCAAGAATAGTTAATCAGCACTGGTTCCAGAAAGTCCTCCAAATTCCCCAGAACCTTGACCAAGCCCAAGAACACCCATAGGAAATTAAGCCAACCAATCAATAAAGTTCACCAACTCCTCCCTGGAATTCCCCTAACTGGCTTTAAACTGAGCTTGCAAAGTTCACATCTCTGTCTCCATCATAGTGAATGGTAGACCCCTGTATAATAGAATTCTGCAGAATAAAACGCTTTGGCATGCTATTTGAGTTAGGGGTCTTCCTTCAGTGATTCTTGGAACCTAACATTATAAGCTCTCCCAATGAAAGTCACAAAGGAGAAACAAGTGTTCAAAGACATCACCCTATCTGGGAGCTTTTTGACTCAATCAACTTCATTCTGATCATCATCATCCATGATGAAAATGTACTTAGTTGAACTTCAATGACCCTAATAGTCTGCACCAGCCAGTACACTCTTCAAATTGCCACATCTTGTAAAATCAGAAAGCAAGTTATATCTTTTCAACATACAAAGGCACAGAGTACCCCTTCCCATTCCAATAGAGTGGAATGTGTACATAGTGAGGGAAGATTGAACCAAAGCAAGAAACCCAGCAGGACAAACAAATCCTGCAGTTCTGGCTCAGACACAATGGGCCTCCATTTCTAAGGACTAACATGGCCCTCTCCCTGCAACTTCTCATACATCTCCTGGTTTAGTTACGTCCACTCCCTACAGGCAGCTCTCCATGGCAGGTGTCTCACAGCTTAGGTATCTCAACATCTTATGGTCTCAAAACGCAACTCAGGCTTCATCCTCACAGGTTCATGGACTGCTCTCTCACAGTGTTCTCCCTCACTGGGGCTCTGACTCTGTCAAACATAGATGGATGGAACAGAGCTGAACTGAAACCACAGGGGAAGAATCCTTGACCTTAAATTTTACATCTTTCTTATTTCCAGAACTTGAGTGCTCTTGCCAAGTTTGGATTCTAAATTGGGATGGACTCTGCCATTCGTGAACTACAGTTGTTGCAGGTTTTCTATGAACTTCCTTCCTGGGTCTAGGAATCATTTTGCCTACTCCTTTCCATTAATTGAAGGCCTGGCAGGAGGGTGTGTCTCCCTTAAGACACCATCTTAGGCTTTCAGTCCTGAGCAAGGACCTTGCCTTTAATGGTGATAATCTCTTTGAAAACAACTGCCTCTGTTTCAGCATTTGGCTGCCATCTGAAACTTCCCAGTGCTGTTTTTCTCTACAAACCACAGACTTTGCATTTATTTCTGTCCAACTTGCTGCTTTTTTTTCATTGTAGTCCTGAATGCGTTACTACTAAATCATCCAAGAGATCCATCTAAGAATACAGACAATTATTTTTTATTCAGCCTTACTCAATTACTCAAGAGCATGGGCAGAATAAGAAAGATTTGGGGTCAAATCACACAAATAACCTCTAGCTAATTTTTTCATGGAGTCTATTTTTAACTTAAATCCTATGACCTGAACTTCTGTCTGCATCACTTGCAAGACTCCAATCTTCCAGTTGCTACAACAACAGCCGATTAAGCTCTGAGTACAGCTTGCCATCTCAGGTCCTGATATTTCCCATATTCCTCCAAAGGAGAACATTTCCAGTTTCTGTCCAGCATGTTTGCATTCCTTTTATTATTATTATTATTATTATTATTATTATTTTGGTTCTAACTTGCTACTCTATTTAGAGGTTAAATCCTCTAACCAAAAGCATCTCAGGGGATGAACAGGTTCACTTGTTTGGTCCTGTCAGATCATAGCCCATCATTTTAGGATAGAAACTCAAGCTTCAAGAAAATAGGGCAAAACCCATGGACAAACGTTTCCTGCCTTGCCCTCTTGCTTGGTCACTGTCGCATGCTCAGCTAGCTCTCTTACCCAGCCCAGGCCCACCTGCTTGAGGATCCTACCATACTCAGCCGTCTCACGTCAGTCATCACTCCTCACAACCTCTTACTGACACAGCATCCAGCCATTTTGATGAGGGCATGACCTCAAGTGAGACTCCCTCAGACAACCGTAGGCTCTAAAATGTTGATGACTGAAGGTAATTAGGACTCAGACAATAATATATCAGAAAGTTTTAAAAACTCAAATCAAATGCGTTAACCACATAAATCACTTAAGTAGCAAAACCCAAAAATTGATCATTGCAACAACCAGAAGACACAGAGTTGCCAAGAAATGAGGAGAGAAAAGTCTTCAGGATCAAGGAGACTGAAACTGTTTCCCAAACTACCAAAAACTCAAGAAACTCATAACACAGTAAATTTTCAGAAGACAAAAATAGGTGAAGGTCTATCATTTTCCAGAGAAACAACAATATAATTAGATTATAATGAATAAAAATCACACAACAGAGATGGCAACACAAATAAGAGGAGGCAGAAAGACATACGTATAAGTCTTTTAAACATGAACTTTAAGACTAAATTTTTCTTATTTTTTTTTTTTTACAAACCAATACTCATCCTGTGAACTCTGTTTCTCCTCTTTGCCAATAGTAGAAAGTAGATTAGAAGAGGCAAAAACCCAGTCAAGGGCTAGAGAGATGGCTCGGAGGTTGAGAGCACTGACTGCTCTTCCAGAGGTCCTGAGTTCAATTCCCAGCAATCACATGGTGGCTCACAACCATCTATAACAGGATCCAATGCCCTCTTCTGGTGTGTCTGAAGATAACTACAGTGTACTCATATGCATAAATAAATCTTTATATAAATCTTTATTTTATTTATTTATTTATTTTGTTTTTTTGTTGTTGTTCTTTTTTTTTTTTTCAAGACAGGGTTTCTCTTTGTAGCCCTGGCTGTCCTGGAACTCAATCTGTAGACCAGGCTGGCTTCGAACTCAGAAATCCACCTGCCTCTGCCTCCCAAGTGCTGGGATTAAAGGCATGCACCACCACTGCCCAGCATAAATCTTTTTTTAAAAAAAGTACACGAAACCACACACACAAATACATAAAACAATATTTTTTTAAAACCAAGTCAATTGGACAAAGGCAGCCTAAGGAATGGAAAAAGATTTTTTTTTAACCAAATCCACATCTTATAGAGGCCTAATATACAAAATTATACATAAAGACCTCAAGAAACTCGACTTTCCAAAGCAAAAAAATTTAATTAAAAAATGGGGTATAGATCTAAACAGGATTCTCAACAGAGCAATCTCAAAAAGCTGAGAAATACTTAAAGAAATGGTCACCACCTTAAGCCATCAGGGAAAAGTAAATCAAAACAATTTTGAGAATCTATCTTGCACATGTCAGAATGGCTAAGATCAATAATTCAAGTGACAGCTCATGCTGGCAAGGATGTGGAGAAAGGGGAACAAGTCTATACTGCTTGTGGGGTGCAAACTAATACAGCCACTATGGAAGTCAGTATTTCCTCAGAATCATGGTTCCTCACAACACTCAGAATCCATCTATCTCAAAACCTGCTCTTGGGCATCTATCCAAAAGGAGCTCCATCCTACAACAAGGGCATTTGCTCAACTATGTTCAGAGCATATTTATTCATACGAGCCAGAAGCTGGAAGCAACCTAGAGGTACCTCAACTGAGGAACGGATAGACAGAAAATATGGTACATTTATACAATGGAGGATCACTCAGCTGTTTAAAACACATGACATCATGAATTTATAGGCAAGTGAATGTAACTAAAAATAAATAAATAAATCACCCTAAGTGAGGCACCTACACCCAGAATGACAAACACGGCATGCATTCACTTATAAGTAGATATTACCTATTAGGTAAATGATAATCAAGCTGTACTCCACAGACCCAGAGAGGCTAGATAAAGAGGTGGGCTATGGAGGGGCGGGGGAGCACAGATCTCCTTCTAAAGGGGAAATAGAATAGTTGAAGTTTGATGGGAACAGGAGTGGGAGGGATCAGTTGGAGGGAAGGAGTGGGGAAAACAAGCTGGAATTGGGGGTTATTGTATAAAGTTGGTACAAAAGCAACTCCCTGGATTCTATCTATAGGTGACTCTAATGAGGACTCCTAGTAATGGAAGATATTGAGTCTGAACTGATCATAGCCAGCCAGGGCTTCAAAGTTGGGAATGGGTTACATGTGGTTGAGCTGTTGGCCAAGGAGGTCCTTTGGTGTTCCTAGCTGATGCTAGGACAAAACTTTGCTCTCAGATAACTGTCAGCAGGGCCCCATCACTGAGGACAAATTCCACACAGCTCATTGAACGTAGAGGTCAAGCGAGTGCAGGCTTGGAGCCTTCATTCCTAT